GATTCATGACCGAGCACCTTCTGCTAGATGAGTCCACTAAAACATATGGTCAGCATCCAATGTCGAAAACTTACAGAGCTATTTATTTTGGGGATTTATTTACCGCTACAGAAGTATAATATTGAATGAAACTGATTATAATAAGGCGTTTCTTTCCTGTAAATGATTCTCAACGATTTCCTATCAGTCTGAAATCGATGCTATCATAGAAGGATCTAAACGGCTACCTATCTCCTTAATTTCTTTTGAAAAACTACTGCGTTAGACATAGGAATCAAAATGACCGAAATTCAAATATTTCATCGGGATGCGGGAAACGATCCAACAAAGAAACGTTAATTCAGTTATATCAAACCATCGTATTCTCTAAACTGCGTGAAGCTTCATTGCGCCGCTTGCAGTCAAAGATCATACTATCACACAATTTGTGTGCGTAATTCACATGGTACTGTGCTAAAAAACAGTGTTATATGTGTGAACAATGCCTCCAATCAGCTATATAGTTAGAATTTCACCGGACATCATATGGAGAAAAGTGGTTTAAAAAGTCGAGTTTTACATAAATGAGAATCAACACCAGTAATCCCAATAAACGGCATCTAATTTCTGATTACAAAAGTCGAACAAGCAGGTTAATGATTTCAGAAGATAGTGTAACTGCAAAAGTGTTAACCTCTTTGTGTCCTAACTTTCAGCGCAGTATAATAAAGCCTTATCGGTCCAGCATCATATAACAAGACAAAGACACAATCTTAACCAGAATTAAGTAAAACTTTTCAGTGAAAGAAGACTCGAAAACGAGGAAATACGACGAAACACAAAGATACAAATTAAAGAAATGACGATATAGTTAATAAAATGCTTTTGGGTGGTTTTCAGATTTTCCGCTCTGTTGCTGTCACATCTACTTGTCTTGCTCAAAGCCTGTAATGGTACAGAAAACGTTTTTGGATGCTTTATAAATGGGTTGATTTATAGCATGATTATTCAAAATACATTAAAATAAATTAACTCATCACTACAGCACTAATTTGATCTCTTTCCTGAAGAGATTTACCGAATCCATACAGTAAGGTGGGTCCGGTCGATTTGGACCTCAGCGAACTAATGTTCTCACCTCAGTATTCTGTCAAATAGATAGTGTTTCTATTTGTTTCAAAACATTTATGTTGTTCTGTCCCGTAACTATGTACGTGACGTTTTACGCTGAGTTACAACGGATATTTTTGCGTCCTTTGTTAGTCTGGCATACACATTCAAAAACACTCGGAACATATACCTTGGCATCTTTCTTATTTGCATTTCAATTGTGTTGACTGACAATCGATGAAGTCAAGTAATCATGTGTAACTAATCTTATATTTATACATCATACGGCTACATCTTGTGAACGCATATCTTTGAGTATGGCTTCTTCCAGCAAATCATCAAAAGAGTTCTTACTAGCTCTTAGGGAAACTTTGTGAAACAGGTCAGAACATTCAATTTTCATAACAAGCTTGGCAATGAAGGCAATGAGGTTCAGTTTAAACTAACTCCTGAAAATAATTAGCTTATAAGACATTCGATAGTAATGGTAATCCTGTAAAGTTTGACGGACACCATTAGTTGCTGGCCCTCAGAAGACCATCAGTGTTATATTTCAGTAGAATCCATATGAGTTACATTCACTCCCATATATATTTAACATAGTAGTGGAGTGTCTGTTTAGTTATAAACAAATTTGTCATTCCTTGCGATCCATGTAGCCCCTAAAGAATCCTAATGAAATCAATGTTTGATTGTGTCGCATCGGGGTCTCTTTTACGTTGCCCACTGTAAGCACCAGCTGCTTCAGTTTATAGCACCTATCTCACAATTAAGTTTGTTTGCGGTTAATTTTGTCAAGCCCTTCAACTAAATTATTTAACGGGATGTGTTACTTGACGGTAACGAGTTGTTTACGTTTTTGAATTATTATTATTGTTATCACTGTCATGCCTGCATGAACATGTATGCTCTGTCACATGTGAGGGACTACACACATGTGCCTCTTACTAGCTTAAGTCTTAGATGCTTAAAAGTCGCCCGATGAATGATTCATTTCCCCATGTATATGTGCTTGAATCTCAATAATTGGTTCGACTCCGAAACCGCCTTTGTATTTGCTTGCGCGTATCAGCTGTTCTGCTCAACTTTGCTTGATGTACTTGTAGCTTTATGATCTGTGTTATTCAATAATAAACTGTAGTCATGTCGACAACTGAACTCATACACAGTTAGGATTTATTCAGTAAAGAATAACAGGGCGACTGATACACGAAGCCTAAGAAATTATATCGAAGGCAATCGGCTGCAAGTTTTGTCTAGAGAGTGTTGAACGATCGGTATCTGTTCACTCTTCGATTTCATGTCCCTACTTTTTCACAAATCACTGACTTCAATCACCGAATCTACACTATCTCGGATGATTAAAATATAAGGTCTTACAAGTGGTGGACAGCCAGTGTTTTAATCTAATTTTGACCATCTTACGAACAACAGAGACCAAGACTACATGAATAAATGCTCAGAAAACGAATATACCGGCAATAATTTTAGGCCACGATTGCTTGCATATTAAAAGTGGTTTCCAAGCAAAGATACAAAACTTTCAAATTAATCATAATTGTGAATAAAATTAGTGTTTGCATGTGATGTTATCCACACCGTTTTCGTAAAATCTGTTGTATATTTAATTATCGGGCGAGAGAATCAACCGAAGTTGATGTATGCGTCAAAGTTGATAGAAATCTTAGTACACATAAACTAATAGTTCCAATATCGCAACTCTGTTAGCACTCCACACCAAATGGCGACTGTATCTCCTTTTCTCTCAGCTTTGGTAGCCTGAGCTGCTAGTAATGAGGTATGCAATATAAGAACACAGGTGATAAAATTACCTAACGAACAACACAATCTCTCACTTAGTTCGCCGTCACTTTCCCACCACACAAAACAAGGAATGATGAACTCAAACTTGTGAAAGAGCTGTTTGTAGTCGTTCACTGCCTAACTCTGTAGCTTAATAGGTGACTATGGCAAGCGACCAGACCATGCAATGAAATCACTTGTTCGTGGTGTTTAGTCGTTCAACCTTATAGTTAAATTTGTCTTCCATATCCCATGGGTACACTGACTACCACCAAACTTCTTGAGCTATTGATTCCACAGATGCAAACATTGTTGTGACCAAAACATCTGGATTTGTTGTAGCCAGCACTCTTAGATTCTTATTCTAGAACGCGTTGTGGTCTCTTAGACACACACTGGCACCATCACTCCTCTTCACATTATCTTGTCTTAGGTCGTGCTTGATCACGTTTTAACGCGCTTGCACTCGGGTTTCACTAAGTGCCTGAGTATAATGCTTATAAACCGTTTCCCAAACTCAAGTGACCGATGGTGACACAAATGAACAGGGAAACTTTGTTAGCATTAGATCGGAAACTATGCAAGCGTTATTAAATGTACTTAATATGTATGATAACCTCCTTGGTTAGCGTTGAATATATAGTAAGAATGCTTTGTAGAAAAGCATCATATTTATGACAAGACTTTTGTAGCTTGAAGAGAACCTACTGATAGATATCTAAAATATTATTCCATTTACTTGTAGCGGTAAATACACACTTAAAATACATAGATCTGTGTGTCTTCGACACTGATAGAAACTTCATTAATCGCGCTGGACATAACTTTTAGCTGTAGTCGCCCGATCATACATCCTCACCAGATCACCATCGGGTTCGGCGAGATACTCACTTTTCACAACAATTAGCCGACATAGATCGATCACTTTCGGCATATTGAATACCTCCTAATTATCATTTTCTAATTCGTTCACTCCTAACGTTTGGTTCAACTGAGTTTGAGATTTTTCTATCGTAAAGTTTTCACGAATGAAAACACTGTCGAACCATCAATATCTAAAGAAGACTTGCGAATGCTGTTTTCTGGAAATTCGACGACAAGGAGTACTATCAGAGCTGCCGACAAGTCAAGTCAGAACTTCTCGGGTTCACGAGTGTTAAATCAAATCTTATCTTTATACGTCGGCTGATAAATGATGTTTCTTACTTCTTGGCATCCACTCCTTTGTACTTTATCATATCGTCCCACAACCGGAGAAGTGAATAGAATGTTCTGTCGATTCTGAGAACCTACTTAAATTTACGCTGAACTTTCTTCGTTATTCACTGTTCAACCATGTGGAACAAACTCCCATTAAACCTACGTTGCAGTGTAACTAAAACCCGATAAAAGAGGTATCGTTGATGACTTTTGTTCTGAACGTGATCTTTGTCACTTATTAAACATCAGAGAGATTATAAATGATTCATTCAAATAACGTCCAATATCTATCTAATTGACTGTAAAGCAAAGTAGAGCATTTGGAATTCTGTTCGTTTGTTCACTTTTTCTGTTTTGTCGTTGACGGAGATCGACGAACTGTCCGTCATCCAGCGACCAACTGCCAGATGATTTGTCTAGGGATCAGTGGCATTTCACTTGCTATACAGACATCTGTTATTGAACTTTTCTTCGTGTAAACCGGTGATTTGTGCAAAACTCGCGTTTGCAGAAAACGTCCGGAATTCCCGTTTATTCTATTTCTTTTTTTGGCCATGCTTAAGTCTTCAACAAAAAGAAGTAGCTGTACACTGCTACAAATCAACTGATTTGCAAGAAAACAGTCACAAAGCAAGGAGCGAACCAAAGTGTATTCTATAAGAAAGAGAAAGCTTAGCTTACGTTCTTTGCAAAGACTTTGTGAATTCCACACAGAAGCGGACCACAGAAGTTCGAGAACACCTGAAAATCAAACAGCATTACAGATATTCAATCAGCCTCGAGGAATTAAAATACGGGCTGATCGCAATAAATTACTCGGTTCAAGGTTATTGAGGCGAAACAGCGGGCGATTTGGAGAGTGTTTTGCCAATTTATCGTGGATCGCCGGACATTACACATCACTCACAATGTTTCCATCTAGATTCAAAAAGTTGTGCACCTGCTTTACTTCGTATCAAGATATTCCAGCAATTTTTCTACTACTGGTACTATATGTTTTTCAGGTTGGTAAAAACATCGGTTATACACGATCAATTTTATTCAATATGTTTACTTATATATTATTCCTTTTTTTATCCAGCGTCAACGTACTCAATCCGGTTACGGTTATGTAAATTTTGATGTTGGTGCCTAAAATATGTACATACAAGCTATTTTTGGTACACAAATCGACCGAATTTTGTCAGTGTACACATTTGCTGATCATGGTCAAAATCTGACTACTTTTATTTAGCTGAAAAGACCTAGGGGCTGAAGTGCCTGTTTTAATCGTGAACAAGAGTGTCATTATTTAGGAAGGCAAGATATTTAACCTTAAGTAACTGTGTAGAGACGTTTGTTGTCACTCTTTGATTGAATGATTGTGGTTAATATATTGCCTTTCCAAGCCACAAAAATTCGAGTTAAAGGTAACTACAAGATACCCCGACAGTTGTGAGTGGGCAATCTGAATTCGATTATTTAAGTGAGATATACATATTCCTATAGAGATTTCGGCACATGATGCCTCATACGATGGCTAAAACCATCAAAAAATTGCTACTGCCACTATCTTTTGAGTATCTTTCAACGTATTTAATATTCCATTTGTCGCTTGTTCTAATGGTAGCCATTGTAGTATGTCTGGATTCACGGGCTTGTCTTCAAGTTTTTCTTCCGTACTTTCCCTTAGACTTCATATATGTAAGTGAATATGATTAACCTCCTCATTGTCCTAAAGAAATGCCCTTCGTTGTTGTAGATAGTCTTTTTAGAATTACACTGTTAGCACATTTGGTGCCAATGTTCCAATACTACTCACATTGCTAAAATATATTCCTATTTGAGATATCAATGAGACTCAGCTTCCTGAACACTGTCTTATTGCGACAACTGATTTGGTGATTTGATTATATCAAAGCGCTTTATGGAAAATCATTGGTTTTGGTGTGTTTTATAAATGTTGGTTCGTTAGCTTAGTAATGACCTGAATATTCAACAGCCTTGATAAAAAACTTGCAAAAGCAGAGTTAAATTTAATTTAAGAGAACAGAGCCTTTTAAAGTTAATGACAGTTAGTGAATAAAGCCTATGGCAAAGCTCATAAAATCAAGTGTTATAATACGATACTTAGTACAAACATCGTATTTTAGGGAAAAATTGTTGGTTTTAATTTTCGCTGTACAGCCGAAGATTAATAGTTCTATTTTCGACAAATCCAAATTATTTATTAATTTTTAATAGGGCATTTCTACCGGCGTTTCTACTGCGATTCCATTTCTTCTTCAATCAAACTACCGTGCCGGAGGCTATAATTTACAGGCATTATTTTCAATATCAGCCTGGCCTAATGCTATGAAACTTCTCTGGGCTCCAATAGTTGATTCAGTTTACGTCAATTTTATTGGAAAACGGAAAACGTGGCTCATAATAACTCAGTATGCAATTGGAATTGAGTTAATTGTGCTAGCAAGTAGTATCGATGATTTGTTTGGACGAGACCCCAACAAAACGTGGAGTCAGTTTGGATCACATCATCCAGTTGATGTAATACCCTTAACTATAGCATTTTTCGTACTTACATTTCTGACAGCTACACAAGATATTGCGGTTGATGGCTGGGCCTTGACATTGCTATCGAAGTAAGTTGTTTTATGTTTGTTATTTTATGTATTTGAACACAAACATTAGTACAAGGGGGCACCAAATACATGTGCGTCACACAATAACAATGAGACTAAAGAAACAGAGAGTGTCAAGTGCGCATAATAAAAAGAAGGATAACGGACAGAAATTAGTGTGTGAGAGTGAAATAATAATGGGAGAAACAGTTCAGTTAGGGAAAATACAACCAGAAAGCAGTTGCGTTCATTTTTATGAAGAAAGTTATAGCGGGGCCGTCACTGTCTTCTATTCTGAGCCATGTCTGATAAAGTCTCCAGCCACTATGTTGCACCATCTCTATGACGCCAACCATGGAGTCGTGAGGGACCAACAGAAGCCAGTCCTGTACAGCTTTCTTTCATACCACGACACCATGTCATACACTGACTATCTCGACGCTTTTCCAACCGGCCGGAGCGTCGGTAAATAATTCACGATGTGAAGGAACAGGGTCCTGTCAGTTTTATGAAAGTACCTTGCACTTGGAAGGTACAAAACACATGCCATACATACGGAAACTGATTGCCAACTGGCTGAGTGCGGATTGCATGGCTTGGGTATCATCGCACAGTAAGACAATATCATTCGCATACTCCATGACGAAAAGTCTTTCTCCAGACAACGGATCCGCACCACCATTACCTACATCCACCAGAGCTGTTTCCAGAACGTCATTGATGGCGAAGTTGAGGAGGAATGGTGAGGTTGGGAAACCCTGCTTATCGATATCAGTAGCATACACCACAGCGTCACAAATGTCAAGAAATACTACGGTAGTTGACCTGTGATAAGTATGACGGTGTTTTAACACTTGTCGGAGGGTGGAGATATGATTAATACATCCTCGATCAGAACAAATGCCATCCTGCTCCTCGCGAGTCAATCTTTCTCGGGTTTTGAACAATCTACGAAATATGATGTAAGCTAATAGTTTGGACGCGATCGAAAGTAGACTTGTCCTCTTTTGGTTTTTGCAGAAACCGTGTGAACCTTTTCTCAAGATAGGAACAACTATCGACTCATTTCATGATTTTGAAACACCCTCTAATTGCCAGACATTTGTAAACAACTCAGTCATTTTCTTAACCAAAAGGTCGTCACCATCCTTGAAAAGGGCCAGAGCAAGTCATATGGGCTTGTTGATTTGTAGCGCTCGAAAAGTTGAAGTTTCTTTATAGACTTCCATCTTGTTGGATGGACCAATCATCACAGGTCATGGAGAGCAGGGCAGTCAGATCGATGTTGCCGGGGCAGCGAGCCGGTTGAACTGCTCCTCGATAAACTCTGCCCATCATCCAAGACGTCGGTAGACTTTAGTGAATGGCATCTTGTCATCTTTACAGGTTGGTTTACTCACTTCAGACTTGTCTCTGCCAGTGACTCGGATGAGTTGAGAGATCTTCCGGCGGTCACCAAATGCGGCTACTGCTTTCAACTTGTTGGCATTCTTCGACCACTAGGCTTCTCGGTCCTTTCATAAGGTTTGCACGATTTTACCACGTAAAAGTCTTCGTCTGTGGTCAAACTCGTTGTCATTCGGAATAGACCGACGAACTTCAATGAGTTGTAAGGAGTGTGAAAAAACCCAGTGTCTATAAGCGGGACGTTTCGCGAAGCGTCACGTGACTTTACTCGCCATTTTCATGGTGTCATGCAATTGCAACCACTACTCATCCATACATTTCAGTGGGCTGGTAGCTAGCCTTGAACCCAGCTTGGTTTAATATTTAGTTGCAGCAGCAGCTGCAAACAATTTGCTGAGATCGATCCGTTTCGGGCGATGAATTTGTTGGCCACTGGAATGTGAGGTAAGATTAGCGCAAAGAAGGGGATGATTAGAGTTCAGATAGGTACTCCAAAAAGGAGCAGTAGTCGTGTACACAACCACGGCAGGTGTATATGATGGCGATGTGATCAATTTGAGTTCAGGTTTGTGATGCAGAGGTAGGATGCCGGACAGCACATCGGCGATTACTGTGTCAGTAGTGCGTGCTAGTCAGAAACAGATTGTAGTCTGCGCACAGTTGTAGTAGACAGTTGAGCTGCTACTTAAGATATTCTGGCCATTGTTCTAAACATCTAGACTGACGGCTTATATGGTTACTGTGTTTTTCCGAGATTGTCTCATTTACACTCGACTTTTTAATCCCGGTTTCTTTTATTACTCTGAAAAGTTGTCTTGTGTTACCTGCAGTCAATTCCTCCTTCATCTTTTTTTGCTTTCGTCGCCCATCACTGCTCACGATCGTTCTGTAGACTATTGGTCAACCTTGAATGATTTGTTTTCTCTCTTCATCGTGTTCAAAGTTTGCGAGGACTGAAACACCGCAATTCGCACCACGACTCATCTGACATGACAAAGATACCGGAGTACGCAGCGATAGACCACGCACCCCGGAATGTGCTTTCGACCAAAATACAATTTCGTTCCCGTTTCACTGAATAAGTAAAGAAACAATGATGTCGTAGAAATTCACTGGTTTTTCGTAACCCTTTCGTTCAAATCACTAATAGATGTTGCTGCTGTTTCCACAGCTGATTGTATATCTTCCTAAGCAACATTTGGATCAGCCATTTTTTCAAAATTGCCAATGTGTGACTTCTCCTGGAACATGCCTTGCCTTTCTCAGCACTAAGTTCAACTCTAATGGTTCTTCTTAATGTGGAACACAGGCATGCCTATCGGCGTCTGACAATGGTGGTCTTTCTTGACTTAAAAGCAGCATTTGACTCGGTAGACCGCGAGATTCTGTGGCAGTTTATGTCATTGAAAAGTGTACTTCGGAAATAAATAAACCTTGTGAGGGCTCTTTGCTCGAACGCTACTAGTCCAGTCAGAGCTTATGGTAAACTGTCATCTGATTTTGCGACCTCAGAAAGCTCGACTGGCTTTTGTCAACTTACGTCACCTATAGCGAAGGTGAGATATCTGTCTATATATATAAACGACGAGTATACTGCGCAGCAGTTCGTTCTGTCTCACTGTACGGCTGCGAAACGTGGCAATTAAGAGTAGAGGATACTCGTAATTTACTAGTATTTGATCACAGATGTCTTAGAAATATTGCTCACATGTTCTGGAATCACTGGCTAATTATTAGTGAGTTTAGGCTCAGGGTATTAGGGCATGATGGTAAATCAGTTGATGGGGTTGTGTATCTACATCGATTGAAATGATTGGGCCATGCATTAGACATTCCCAACCGCCGACTACTACGACTCGTGATGCTGACTGGTGTTGAAGTGGCTAAACCAAAACATGGCATCAGTTGATAAAGTCACTAACTTCTAGTCTGAGCCATGTTGTTAGATGCGGACTACTTTGCTGGGGTCCTTGCGACCGTCGGAACGAGTGGTTTGAGACTGGGTGACGTGGCTCAGAATCGATCACAATGACATAAGTGTATACACTTTTTGTCTTCCCTTAAACCATGAGATTAAAATTACTTTATACATTTCTTTCTACGAACCAATCCTTTCTCCCTGTATCATTTCCTCATGTGCAAAATTTATTTATATGTATTACTACCACTGAAGTGAGTACTTCTATGGATTTCTTCATCTTCTTTTACTGTTGAAATATGGCAACTTCGATCAATGCATTTACGTAACGGATTCTATATTTTAGGCATCTGACGGACTGATTTGAATGAATTCGTTCAAATGTGGAAGTTAGATTTCGTCTGTTATTGTATATCAATTACAACGGAAAATATATCAGTTGCTAATAAAAATCATTTTTGAACATTATTATAGCCTGATGTTATTTAAAGATAACTATTTAGTCTATATTTCTTAGTTGTCTAGATAAATTTGTGAATAATGTCAGAGGTTAACTAACTGAATAAGAACCTTTGATCATGCAAATAATCCTAAGCTATTTATTTAGAAAAAATTTCCAACCATCATAAAACCATATGCTTTCAGATATAGGTATTGCGAAATTTAGTGTCTGCTGTTATTGTTAATTGACAATACGACAACTAGTCAGCTTAGATCATATACTTCACTGCGCATCGACTATCTTCCAAATATATAATCGAACTACTTCTTTGCTGAATTCTGCGTTTACTGGTTTTGGAATTGTCAGTTAGAAATTTGTTAGGGACGGCAACATTGTTAAGAGCTGATATCTGTAACATCTTTATGTCCTGACTCATCATATACAATATTTTGGTGCCATTCTCATTATTATAAGTGAATTTTCTGTCCAATTTTTGTTCATTAATTGTAATTTATTTTTAGTAAATTAGTGAAATATATAATACATAACTATATTTCCATCAATTGTACATCAAAAATCTGTCTAGATTCTTTAAATTCATACCTTAATGATATGTTAAACTCAATTCATACAATATTTTATTTTTTCCTATTTAAATTTTTCAGAAAGAATGTTGGTTTGGCTTCTACTTGTAATAAAGTTGGACAGAGCCTTGGTTATGCGTTATCATTTGTTCCTTTAGTTTGCTTAGAGTCTCCTGATATTCCTAACAAATATCTTAGGCGAACGCCTATAGCAGACAAAGGATTAATAACATTTTCCGGTTTGTATACATTGTACAAGAATATCATGAATTAGTTTTGCAAATTTCATTATTATTGTATAATTTATCGATGTGATTTAATCGAATGTTTAGAGGGTTTTTTGAACTTTCTTAGTATATCAGTGATATCAATGTGAAAGTCAGAATCATTCTTATGGTAATCATTGTTTGGGCGATCTTGATAAAATGTCATAAAGTTATGTTTGAGATACAAGATTATCAGTCATAGGGTTTATATAATCATGGTCATTCTAATGTGATTATATAGTAGTTTTGATAGATACTTGTGCGTGATAGATTTATTTTCATCGTATCAAGTGTGAACTTGGTATTTTGTTGTTGAGCACTGTAAAGAAATGGTTTTTATTTTCTTACGTATTGCTAATTATTTGGTGTCTTTTTGCTTTTAAACAGGTTTTCTCTATGCATGGGGTTTTGGTTTCATGATATTTAACACAGTTTTGGTAATATTTAAACATGAAAAAGGCTCGACATTGGATGGGATTATACGTCACTTCATAAAAAGTCGTTTATTCAGTAAATCGAAATACTCGACGCACTCATTGAACAGTGAACAGACGGCAAATAAAATCGAACAAACGGACGGAAGTGAAAAAGTCTCATTACTTAATACATATAAGACTCTTATTGGTGTTATTCAACTGAAACCTGTCGCGTTGTATTTGGTATTGTTATTTATATCAAAGGCGAGTAAAGCAGTTATATTAATTATCCATGCTAATTGATTTTTTTGTGTACGTGATACCGTATGATTGTTTAAGAAAGGATTCTATATTTTCTTCCTGTTTTAAATTATTACTGGCTAAGTTAAAGTATTTTAATCCGAATTTGTTTTCAGTGAGTAATATACAGAACTATATTTATATATTCAATAGGCATTGATCGGCAACCTAAGCTTTCGTAGTCCTTTATTGTGTATTATTCAGTTTGTTGCATAATTTTCGGATATGTATACTGTACAAACGGAAGCTTATAATGTTGATATTGATGAACCAAACCTTCGACGTTTAGAGAAATTTATGCAAATTAGCTCACTATCTTATTCACCAATTTAGTTGAAGGTTTTCTTCAGCATTTTAGTCATTAAGCCAAATCAGTTTGATCGTGAACATTCACGTTCAGTTTGAACATATATCGTTGTATTTTTAATCTGACATAACTAGTGTTCATATTTGACCACTTCAGTATACGTTTCAAACTTTTGTATACTAATTTTCAGTTATTTTTTTAGCAACATATTTCAGTTTGTTTTATAACTTCTTTGAATTATTGTTTGGTTATGGATCAACTATTAGTTTGTTTATCTGAAATTCTATACTTCTTTAAAAATTGCGAACAGTTTCTTTGTAATTTATATCTTTTTAGTTTGGTACATCAATTTTCTCGTGAGGTTTTTAGCTCACATATCAAATCTAGGATTCTTAAATCCCTGAATAAAAGGCGTTGCAGCAATGAGAAATATGTGTTCACTTTCACTTTTCTTTCCTGAACACAGAAATGGAGATTTGTTTTTTTAGGAAAAAATATAGATCGTGATAGTATCCTTAGTCAGATAACAGTTAGATAAAAGACAATATTTTTCTTTATCATTCGAACAAGACTTTAATTAAATATACTGGTTTTATTTTGGGTGCATGGACGATCTTAATTCATCAAGTGAATTATACTTACTGAAAATAAATTGACAATGTTTTCAATATGATTTTATTGAATACAACCCTTAAAACGTTCCTGATACACTATATTTTAATCGATTATTCCTAGTTGTTAAGGTTATAAATGCACCATCGATTAATGATGTACTGAAGTAATGTAAATAGTGAAACTGATGATTTGCTCAAATGACCAGTCTTTACAACCTTAATCAGTAGAATTCGGAAGTGCAAATCATTGACAGACTGAATTAAAGTATTATCAAACTTGAGTTTGTCATGGATATAAAGAATATTCAACTAAGATTGGACTGTATCAGGTCATAAATGATTGAACAAGAATAACACTGAAGGTTGTAAAACAGCCATTGACCATTCATTTCTCTGTTTAATTGTAGTTTATCGGTTTTTCTAATCTTTTGTTTTACTAAAAATTATTTTGGTTTTCAAAAATGTATGAAGTATATTTCCCGAGGTTTATTTACAGTGTGAAATATATTCTAGTTTCCCTATAATTGTGGCTGTCTATTCAATAACTATGAATTCAATGATACCTAATTTAATACAAGCTTCGCACAATTTCATTCAATTATGAAACGATCATTCGTTTTCAAAATGAGTGTTGACCATAATTGGTAGATGTTTTCGAGTTTTAACGTTGATACTGTAGAGTTCTTAGTGAATAGTAGTTTAGACTGGTGAAACGTACGTGTAAAATATAATGTTTAATGATAATGTGACGGTCTCAGATTAGAAATCCACATATACTTATTGGTAATGTCGAAGTTATACATGATTACTTTTGGCTTTGATATCTAATAAAATTAATGTTCTCCTCAGACTGTTGAGCAATCCAGTTTATAAGAGTCAAATTATAATAAATGAGGGATTTTAATGCTATTATCTACATTAGCCGATTAACTTATGATACTACGTTTTGCATGGGGTTTCTTTCAATTAGTTTTTGGTAGAAATAAAATAAAACTTTTTTTCGATTTCACAGATTTTGGTTATTGATACTTCTCTCCCTAATATGCATGTAATTTGAAACAGTTATAAGTCAGTCAGTCGATCATATGCAACACAAAACCTGACACATGTGGAATAATTAATTTTGCTACAACACTTTAGCATAATTGTTTCAAGACAAATCTTACGGTGATAAAAGTAGTAACAGGATCAGTAGCAGTAGAACAGATTAACTATGGAAGGAAAGTGAGAAGACTTAGTAGGAAATTTTGGAACTCAGAGAATAAGGGGACATAAAGAATGAACTCACCTGAGCCATGTTATCTAAAGTCGCTCACCACTGGTTAACGGTGGTTGGGTGGACCCCAGTCAAGTAATCTACATCGAGCTTTATGTCTCAGTCCAATAATTAGTATATTTATAGACTGATAGTACGTCTTGATTTGATCATCTCTAAATTTTTAACAGCCTGCTCCTACGCCAGCCATTATCGGGAGTCTACGTAGGCGGTGTTTGTATTTACATAATACATTTCTCAATCATCTCAGTTAATAAAGATTTTCTACCTCATCAATCAATTTCCCATCTTTACCTAATACCTTATGCCCGACCTGCCAACCGAGATTTCATTAGACATCAACCAACCAGGACTGATAAGGACTCCAAGATTAATTAAGTGGTTGATTCGTTCAACTACCTCACTGACTATCATTAAGTTAAACGTTGACGCAGACCAATCTTGGAGCAACATTCCGCATTTAGAGAGGGGGAGTCACATCCAAAAATTGTTGCACCGTTCCTTAAGGTTATTAGAAGACTCTTCATTTTGACGGCGTTTTCACCGAAAAAAGTATACTATCTGCTTATTCCAAGTCAACAAGTGAGTTTCCTGGTAAAATACCAGCTACTGAAAATTCAGGCTACAAGAGAGCTATTTCTAAAAAAAATCACATATGATGAAGTTAAACAAAAATAGAGAATGTGGATAGCCTTGATAAATAGCATTTAAGGTTAACAATCTCAATAACAGTTCTCCATAAGCTCTAACTCGATCAGTGGCGCTCAATTATTTTTTTCGTTAAATATCACTGTTTTTGAGAAAAACTTACCTGTTTAATTGTGTTATTTTTCCCCATCATTATTATTACTATTGTTAGGTATGTGCTTTTGGTACATATAGAGCTACATTTTTAAAGCTAATCGAACAGGGCTTTGCTAAAGAAAAAGTGGCATTATTAAACCTTGGATTTTTGCCAATGGATTTTATTTTACCCTTCTTAATTATACGTTTTACTACTGGACCGAAACCATTGACTAGTGGTCTAATGATATTTTTACCAAGGTAATTATTTTTGCTAATTGCTATGGCTTTACTGATGTAATCACTTTGTGTTTTCATCACCATTAATGCAATCTATTATTTTTTGTGGTCGTTCTAGCCTGCTACTGATATGCTAGTTTCTTATACGGGAACACAGCCAGCTACTTGAATGAGAAAAGCAAGAGTGAGTACGGAACCTGTTATGGATTATGGCGTGCTGTCGAAATTCACGTAACGAAACACCAGTCATAATCCGTTCAGCACCAATGATCTTGAATCGACGCTAAGTTGTTATTGATTCACGATATATATATATAATCTAATTACTTAGTAATTCTACAATATGAGTACGTATATAATAATATTCCATAAATTAGTCCTGGAAGATAACATTCCTTCCGTTTTCGTTCGGATACGACAGAACGTTTATTGGCTAAATCAATTCGAAAATACGTTAATGACTCACTTATAAACATACATCTTAACCAATAAATCAAACCACATTTTCAACCAATAGCGTGTCACTATACTCAGAAAGTTCAATCAACTTTTGGCCATAGTGTGCACTTGTCAACATCTATTTATCATTTGGTTTATATCTGATTGGCTTAGACTATTAAAATCTAAGCAGAAATTTTGTAGTTATAAATGATTCGACAAAGTTTAGCTTATTAAATTCACTTGGTATTGTTTTACTTGAATCTTCCCATTGATGTTTAGAACTGCAATTAATCAGTCTCTATTGGTATATGTGCATACTGTGCGTATTCCCTCGATATTGCCTTAATTCACAAGCAATATAAGCATAGATGGGTTGTGGTTAGCAGTGAAATCAAGGTCGCTCGTTTCGCCCTATTTGGGACTCGTCAGCTGGATGTACCGACATTTCAGAGTTGATGTTCACTCTGGGACTCGAACCCAGCACCGTTCGCTTCAAATGCTATCGCGTTATGCACTTAGCTACTGAGTCCTGATAGTCACTTGCTTGTGCGAAAGCTAACTTCTTTACTTGTAGAAAATTTTATGTCATTAAAATTCTAATTTTAACAACTTTGCAAAAGTGTTCACATTACTTTATTATCGTGATATTACTGTTCAAGTTTCTGTGTTTGTTATTTTGAAAATGATCCAGGTTACTGACAAATTGTTTATTTATTCCAATTATTCATTTCATACCGCATTTTCGAATGATTTCAAATGATACCTTGATGATGAATAATTCGAATATGACAACATTAAATAATTACACAACTAATAATATTAATGATACAACTAATTTAATGAAAGTTAAACCCACTTATTCATTTCCATTGATATTCTATGCAATATTAATAAGTGGCTTCCTTTTGGATAAAATTACATCAACAATTATATATGTACAATTTCACGCGTTTCATGCCAAAATAAGTAATCCAATTATTGGAGGAACCTATATGACATTATTGAATACTGTAATAAATATTGGTATGAGATATGCTCTTTTTGTGCTGTTTGCTATTTTGTCTATTTAAATTATCTGTTTGTGTTATTTTTTTCTCAAATGCTGCTAATATGGTTATTATGATGAAGAAATGAAGTGATCATTCATTAACTTACATTGTCCAACTTTGATTTAAGAGTCATTTGATATAACCACTCTATGTTTTTGACAATATATGAGTCAGTTTAATCAAATAAAAAATCACGTTCATATGGTCAATATGAGCTACCCATAATGATCAATTCCTTATGTTCACTTATGTGTCATTTAATGTCAAAATGTACATCATTCATTTTTCTTAATTGAGTGAAATTTCTTGAAAATATAAAGTTATCTTTAGAAGTTCATTTAAATTACTAAGTTCCCTTGTGTGACACGTTTCTAAACGTGTCTAGATAGGTATGATATATATTTATATTGTTAATCATTGAGCTTCAAATAGTCAACTATTCAATATACCCAGTATTCATCTCAAAATTTCATCCTTAAAGTGAAACAACACTTTATCATGATTAGAACTTGCTACTAAATGAATCCCAGTATTGTAGAGTGTAATAACTGCTACAATTGATCAGTTCAAATGTAAACATTAATGACAACTGTACATTTGAGATGGATACATTAGTGTTGACTAAACGTATCGCTAGTCATTCAAGTTTGATATTTGTTACACAGGGATCTTTGTCTTTATCTTGTTAAGTACATTACAAGGATTTATGGTTGACTTTATCAGTGAAATGTTCATCAGGCTCTCCATTTGATTTGTAATTGTAGACTAAAACGTAATTATATGAACAAAAAGACATTTGATTATGATTTTCTGTTTTACTTTCGTGTATAAGTTTGTACTTGGTCAATTTTTTCCGCAAGTAAAATGTAGTTCTGGATACTTCCACTCACTTTTATAACTTATACAAGAATAGGTATAAGAGTTTCCAATAATTCTATGTAAAAGTTTTCAGAGGTTAGGGAGATGTTGAAAAGTTCTTCGACCAACTAGGATTCTTTGAGATATTTGCAAGAGAATGTTAAACAACGACGAATTATTTTTTTTGCTGTCCGATTGAACAATTATCGACTATCTTGCCAACTTTAAAACGGTTTCTAGAAACGTTTAGGAACTCAAGGTCACATGTAACTCTGTAAACCTTTTTTAAAATATATAAACTGACCTTATGAATAAACCTTGAATATTCCCTACTTCTTGTTTTTGTGTTCGGTGCCGAGTGACAGAAGATTTCTAATTCTTAGGATGCTGCTGGGAAGTTGATGTTCGAGCGTTAGAACACAAAATATACCAACAGCTAAATTTGAAAGAAAGCAATATCGTCTTAATGCCTAATCTAGATTAACCAATGTGGTGTTTCATCTTACATCTTGATACTTGGAAGTAATATACTTTAACCACCTTACCATCTCTCTTACGATATGTATGTGAATGCAGTTACATGTTTGCACCAATCTGAATTATTAATGCAATGTATAGACGATCCATCTCAATTAAATGTTTGTATAGTGAATTTATTTCAAGTATCTATAAGTTGTATAAATTGAGTTCAAGAATAATAGTTTACTTATTTTGAATGTTAACTGATCTGATCGTTTCATATTGGTTATTTTTTATTTGTTCAAAATAGCTGGTTATTTAGGAACTACTGTCTCTCTCGCTCTAATAGAGCCTTTGACAATTCGTTCATGTACGAAAAGTGCAAATCATTCTGGAATATATACAAACACTAGTGGGACATTTTTAACTAATTCATCGGCTACTGAAAATACCACTTACTATCCTTTGGATGGAAATAGCGTATGTGAATATAATTTACATGCTATACTTTGTACAATATTTTCAATGTTCATTTTTCAATGACAACACAGTTTGTTGTAATGCTATCTACTAATAACTAGTAGGATTCATAACAAAAGAAATGGACTTGATAATATTTTAGTATTTTAAGCAGAGATGAATGTTGGATAACTGTGGGATCCAGAACGCGTGATTCGTCCTATTCAAGGCTCATCAATTGTATGCACTTGTACTGAATCATATAATTTAAATGATAACAATATACTTAAAGGAAGGGTCCATAAACAAAGTTAATAATTGATTATTTTGGTAATCGAGTAAAATAATTAAATCGTTTTTGTCTGTACAACTGAAGATGTTATTAGGGTTAATTAAAGTGATATTGAAGACTATTATAAGTAAAAAACAAAAGAGTAACGAAATATCGATTAGGAGAGGAGAGTATCTTCGGTTACAAAAGTATATGAAACGAAAATACTAATAATAGAAGGCTAAGGCGAAGACGAAGTCTATTTCTTTTGTATACAAAATTCCATAGCTAGCAATCACTTTTACCTAGTGGACGAAAATATTCATCAACCTGGTTCTAAAACAGTGGAAAGATGGTGATTAAGGTTTCCGTCTTTGATCATTGAATTGTCTGGAATTATTGAACTTACCCTTAACCCTGAAATGAACATAGTGACACTGTAGTTTGTGGACGAAATAATAGAACAACATCTCTTGTTTTTTGAGCGAAATTCATATATAAATATGGCTACAGAGCATGTTTACATTATAGGTGATGTCGATTCGTAATGAGAATACTAATTTTTTACCCTTAAGTGGTCAGTCCGAACTAGGACTCAGAAAAATCTCTTTGAATCCTCTTACAGGTTCGAAAAGATGAAAAATCTGTATATGTAGTACAAGTTCATATGTCGTTATTGTTTTGGTGTACAGTCAGAGTGACCTATAGAAGACAATTATAGGTTTACTAATTGTGTAAAACTAGTTTACACTTCACAATATTATTGTTTTTCCCCCATAAAATGCCTATTTATAAAAGATGTTTTATTGCAAACTTGCTGGGAATTCGTAACGGTTATTACCATAATATGACTAACTTAGGTCATTAAGTTCAACAAACATAAAAAATAATCATGAAGATAGATGTGTTTTGTTAAGATTTTCTGATTCAATGTAACACTCACAAACAAAGTGGTAATTTTTTAAAATTAAAGTATTCACTTCTTTGTCCAGATGACGTCACTAAAATTTTGTCTTGAAACTCAACACATTAGTTCTTACATTTCGTCACGTTTTATGTAACAGGAAAGCAACAGTTTTCGGTAACTGTATGTATACCAAATTGTTGAGAATCATGATATTTACATGCATACGATATTTTCTTTCATTATGTTTACCTAATTACTTCACTATTCTTTTTCTTGTTATGTTTTCAAGTTTTTAATTATTACGGGAAATTGATTATAAATAGATAGATAAATGTCTATAAACTCAGTGTAAAATATCAACTTTAATTTACTTTTCTTTTTCTTTTCAATTCAAAATAGACATCTATCAATCCAATAGAATCATGCGTTAACCTATTCGATGGATACTATATTGAAGTGATAGCACTTCTCTTCATTGGTTCAATATTATTTGTAGTCTTCTTTTATCCAAAAGCAAAATATTTGCAAAGTTTACCAGCAACGCAATTTTATTACAATCCAACTACTGATGAACCCGGTTATTTTAGTCGTAAATTTAACTGTTGTCGTAAAACGGAAAATCAGTCATTAAATGTAACTGATAATTTTGAAGGTATGGAAAACAATACCTATACTCCTTTTCCTCCTCCTCCTCCTTATAATAATGATAATAGTGAAATCAAATCACGCTTGAACAATTAATATATGGTCACTGATTATTTTTTATTCATTTGTTACCAAGATGGATATTTTCATAATTATGGTGAATTTTTATATTCAGTTACTAATATTTTCTACTTATAAAGAACAATTTGAAAATTTTATCCTTTTTTAAATTGTTTGTGGAAAATTTTTTTAATTTAAAACTCCTTTTTTTCTTTCTAAGAAGAAATAGATAAACAAAAATACAGAACTGTCGTCTATTTTGTGTCGCAGATATTCTAACTTTGTAAACTTGTTTACTTATATTTTCATTATGCATAAATGATTCGTGAAAAATATTATCCTATAAGGAATGAATGATGATAGCCGTTACTTACTGACGAAAAGGAGATGAAGTATGTTTAGTGTTATGTTCTTACTGTTTTTTTTATTATTGTTTTCTTGTTGTATTCGAAATGTTTTATTTCTATTCTGTTGGTTGGATATATGAGATCAAGAAATCAATAACTGTCTTATGTTTTCATATGTAAAAGGAAGAAACAATGATCCACGGAGCGAGAGAGAGAGAATGAGAGTGAGTAGTGATATACAACATAACTTTTGATTTCTAAATTTGCAGGGCAATATGATTGTTATTTTTACAATGATTTTGTACTTACCTGTAGTCAGTTTGTATACAACTAACGATATATAAAGTTGAGTTAAATAAATTTGAATGAATGAATCTGCAATCTTCTAATTGGTGGATGTGTTTAAATGTTCCGTTGATTAATCGTTTTATACAATAAATACCGTCTTCCAAATTTAAAATTTTAATTGTTCGACAAACCATCTGCAATTTTCAGTTGAAAATAAGTTTCTTATGTTTTGGAAAATAATTGTTCACCCACAATAGGACGAAACGGCCGTCCAGTGCTCCCAGGTTATCCATGGTGCTCTAGCTTCATCTGACTGATGATCTTTATCATTGAAATTACTATAATATTCACAAAAGCCCATCTGATAAAAAATATATATTGAAATACCGAGAAAATGAATTTAAACTGTTTTACAAACTGAGTATTCACACTAATCGAGCAAGAATAAACTTTAATACGTACTATTGTTATCGATTATATTTTGAATACTGAGTAACAGTTAAAGCCAGAACGCTCATTTCATCATATATGAAACTCGTGGATTAGAAGTATTGACATGTCACTGTAGGTGTCAAAACGGAGACTTGGACTCAATGTTCATCGCTTCAAAACGAATGGATAGAACAAACTGTTTGTTGTTTCTGGCAATATTCTTAGGTTTTGTATTCCGTCTAAGTAACTATTGGACGAAAGCTTTCGAAACTCTTGTTTGGTCAAAGATGATGAACTTACAGAAAACACAAGAAAGCGTTTCCCATTGGTTTTGGACTGAACTGAAGTAAATAAACCTAGTGTAATTGGATTCGAAACCGTAGTTCGTAAATTGCTTTATCTGAATTGTGTGTTTGTCAGTAAAAATCGTGCCTCAAGAAATTACCAAAGGTTTGTGATGCTTACTCAGGACGTACATTTCCTGCTCACCCATCTCATTGAAATTAATCAGAATATCAAATTCAAAGACTTAGTGGTATACCAATCGATGTTGCGGAAGCAGAAGAACATGAGATACCATCTAATTATATAATTAGTGTCCATTCGAAACTCAAAAGATGCGATTTATCTGGAATGGAGTATTATCAAAAGGAACAATAAAATGGAACGAGGCTTTTAAACCTTGAATAATAAGTTTCCCAGGTGTCGATAAGCTGTCAAAAGCACAGTTTTGAACTTGATAATAATCACTTTACATAATGCTTGTTTCTTCATATTTAAATTGTTGCACATTTATACGGCCACATTTTAATGTATAATATCTCAGGTAGATGCTATTGGTATTTTACAATATTTCGACACCTATTAAATTGTTCTCATCAGTCTAACTAAATAGTATCGTGTATGGAAGATACAATTGTTTAGTCTGTTATTATAATACTGTCCCAAGATTATTTAAATGAAGTAAATTATATAAATTTCGGTTTTGAAATCAACAGTTTACTTTCAAATTTAATAAGTTTGGTCGATTAGTATTAGCTAATGGTTGACATGAAGTTAGATCGTAAAACCCCCAGAAAAGTACTGGTATAATATTTGTATTGTAGCATGTTAAATTTAAAACCAATCTACAATTGCAATAATCTCTTGTTTAATATTCTAGCACAAATGTAATGCACGCTATTTAAGCAACAAGTTGACATTAATTACGAAAAAAACATATTAATATTCACATTTACCCATACACGAAATGTTAAATATTGTCATTCTTGTGTTTCAATATTTCAATTTTGTACTTCGTAACGTTTTCAGTGAACTAATCACATTTTCTTAGTTTCCAGTCGAATGAATTGAGTTGTGTTTTTTTGATGCCACAATATTTTGGTTTATCGATATGAACAGATACATTTATATATTGAAATTTGAATGAAGAATGAATTGATCACCTGTAGGTTACTATTTGAACAAGTAATCTTGAAATATTGCTCGGAATATATTATCGTTAATTAGACTGATATTAATAAAAAAGAATAAATAATTCACTCAATAGTCTCCACTGAAATGCCTTACGAGTTCTGTCCTCATACTTGGAATCACAATGTGCATATCAGGATTAATACTTGTAGAAGATAAAATGAGCATGTAGAGTTGAAGAGTATGAAGAATACATAATATCAATAGTAAGGAAACAAAGAATTAATAATAAATGTAAAATATAAATATGGCTTGAATAACTGTACTTAAGTTCGGCCGACTAGAATGAGAGAGAGTCTATCAAAGCATAGTAGAGCAAAAGCCCAAGTTGAAATGTCTGATGAAATACTATGCAAAAATGTGTGTTGGCGGCAGAACGTTTCTTCATATTTAACACGAAGATCAAGTCTACATAATGATATGTATGTAATTCTAACCTTATCTATTAGGTGAATAATGAAACCGGTCATAACAATTACAAATATTTGAACCTTTGCTGAGAATCTAAGAGAACATTTCGGCCAATCCAGCCATAATTTTTGCGAGCAAACATTTTTATGGTTTTGATAATTTGACTTTCTCAAATAACAACCAAACATGTAAGCTATCCATGCGGTACCAATGAACAAATGTAAAAGTATCCTCATTATTCCAATGACACCAATCATCATACCAAATAACGTGGGTAAACCACTCATTATTTTTGATAAAGTTAGATAACCAGTTTTCGTTCACTCGCTTTCGTTTGAATTAACTTGGTTGGCTTTCCGTAGTAGTTGAATTCTTAAAACTATACCGTGGGAACGATGCATCAAACAAGATAATTTTTCAAAATATATCTTCTGTAAACTCTTGACCAACCATAATGGAATTTCCCGATGGTGGTATGTATACAGAAGCCGGTTTGAATAGTAAACGGTTAACTTCTAAATTATTGGTTGGTGTGTGTAGTGAATAATTATTTTCTGTGTTGGCGTAGTATCACATAATGTTTTATTCAGTTGGATAATTATATTGTGGCTGAAGAAAATTTATGGATGTATTTCAATTAAATTCACTCAATCAAACCAAGGCATTTTACAGTCAAATCCGTCGTGACATTTAATTCGCAGCTATATTTGTTTTACATTTAGGTAGAAAGTTGGCACAATTTTGTTGGCTATATTTTTATCAACAAACTGAACTGATTTCTTAGTAGCTGTCTCCCCCCCTCAAAAAAGGACAAAATCACCTAATAAGCAAAAGGAATTTAGGCAATATTTGACGTGGCTAGACACAAACTGTAGAGAGGTATATAAATGACAAATATTCACTTTATAAATGATTGTATGGTTTTAGTGTTTTTTTGTTGTTGACAGAATGTAATGGATTTTCATTAGTATTAAGAGTGTTTATCAAGTTATAGTCCGATATCAATTTACATACGACTGAATCGCTGCATACACTTCCCAGTAATTTCTTACCTAATTAATACTTTGGCTCCAACTCTGATTTTCAGACGGAAAAACACAATTTTTCGCTCATTTTCGTAAGTCTGTATGCCTTCACTTGTTAACTTCGGATATCACTCACTATTATTCCAGTATTCTTTCATTCTTTCAACATCTTTTTCTGTACATTTAGTTGCCACATCCACTCCTCGATAATTTCTTACCTAATTTATACCTTGGTTACAACCCTGTTGATTTTTTTATGACTGGAATTAATCTAGGATACCATTTACATACTGATACATTGAGTACATTTTAGCTGTATTTGTAATTAAACTTTTATCCACTCTTAACTAAATACACATATAATATTATTATGAAGCATCATATCTAATGAAGTATGACTTCCATTTTAATTACCTTCGTTAAGGTCAAGCAAAAATAGCATCTGAATCAATCAATCATTACCAATCTTATTAGCATTGATAAACTAAAAGTTTTTCAAACACAGGAATTTACACTACATACCAATATATCTGTCGGTAAACAAATGAGTTAAGTTCTATGCAGCAGATAATACACTCATCAACGCATAATATAGAAAGGTGAAAATATTTTGCGCTCTTTTTGAAACCTTTAAATATTAAACATCAGAAATTTTCTCATTATTTTATACTTTATTTACAAATTTCACATTCCTACTGGTTATTCTACAACATTTTTGTCGGTTTTTGATACTAGTCATCAGTATTGGAACATAGTTAATTGATTTACTGAAAGACAGAATATAGTTTTAGACAAGTTATCTCGTTCTACTTAATTAATTATGTTTTATTTGTGTTTAGCTTGTTGTTTTAAAAGATTTATATTATTATGTCGGATCCTACTAGTTTGTCGATCCAGTTCTTAATGTGAACTTTGATTAAAGGTAATGATGACACTGTATTATTGATTCAAATGCGATAGTCTAGAAGGAATATTCAGTTTATGATTACAACAGTAGTTGTAATAGCCTTTATGGTACTTATAAATTACACAAGAGATTTACAATAGTCTAAAATTTATA